AGGGTCTGGAACCAGCTTCCAAGTGAGGTGGTGCAGGCTCCCACCCTGGGGGTTTTTAAGAGGAGGTTAGATGACCATCTTGCTGGGGTCGTTTGACCCCCATTACTCTTTCCTGCCATGGCAGGGGGTCGTACTAGATGATCTGCCCAGGTCCCTTCCGACCCTAGAAACTATGAAACTCACCCAAACGGTCAGGTATGCAACACTTTCTAGGTGCTTTGGCCATGTCCACATGCGGTGAGGATGTTTGGCTCCCCGGGGGCAGCTAGCAGCAGTGCACCTTGTGCTGCCACTAATTGTCCCCGGAGAATGCCCATGCTACATGTGCTCTGGCACGTGGCAAATTACCTCAGAGGTGGTAGGGGAGGCTAAGGCGAGCATTGGGCTGGCCCCAGCAGCCTTATATGGGGCCCTGGGGGCTTCCCAGGGCTGCAGCAGTGATCATGAATGCCGTGTCCCCCCAGAGGCTGGGGGGGCACGGCGACTATCTGTAGGCGGTGGCAGCAGTGGTGGCGGCAAGTGGGGAGCTCCCGCAGGCAGCCATGGTGGTGTTGGTGGCAGGAGGTGGGCCGAGCGGGTAGCTTCCAGAGGTGGCCTCAGTAGTCTTGGCAGTAGAGGACAGGTGGCAAGCACCAACCAGTTGTCGTTGACTGCCTACAGATGCTGCCAGCAGCGGCAGCTAGTGGCGATTGGGGACTGCCTGCAGATGCTGCCGGCAGTGTCAGCAGCGAGCAGGGATGGGGGGTGGCAAGTGGTGGCTGCCTGCAGGCACTGTCGGCAGTGTCAGCAGCACTTGTCACAGGGGCTGCGTCACCAGTCTCAGAGGGTGCACATGCACCCACATACACCCCCTACGCGTCGCCAGTGGCAGTGATGATTCTGCCCCGCACAGCCTGGCCAGCAGCCGCAACGCAACTCCGAGTGACTAGGCTCTGCTTTTGAATGGCGTATGCTGCCTGTGCGTGCACCACTCTGTTTTTTTTCCTGCACACTGATCCCTTGCAGAATGGAGAACAACTGAGCGTGTGGTATGTGATGTCGCAGATGTGTTTGTGATGCTACATACCACACAACTGCACTCATCTGGATGCGGCCTTTGGTTGCATGCCCATATGTAAGTTGACTTAGATATGTTAAGTCTAATCTAAGTTAAGCCAAAGTCAGAGTGTGTATACATAGGAGTGTGCACTCCTTGACATGGTGGCAGCCATCTTGTGAGCTCTCCCCTGCAGTAGCCCTTTAGAGTCTACTGTACTTAACTAATGCAACTCGAGATAATGCACCTCAGAAGTGTGTTATTTTGTGCTGCATTTAAGTCAGCTCTGCTCCACATACATGTATACGGTCTGATAGTTAAATCAATTTAAAAAAAGTTAAGTTGGCTTAACTGTCAGAAAGTTAGTACATGTGTATCCATCTTTTGTAGGAGAACTTACTTTGCATCACACAATCAGCCACTACTGGAAGGACTTTTGTGTTCCCAAAATGAGGTGCTGGTCTTGTTTGAGGGTGTTTGGTATGTGGAAGAAAAAAAGATGTGCAATTTTGGAAGTAATGATATAGCGGTTTGCTTTGTCATTGGCTCAAGTTATGACGGTGCTTAATTATATATGTTATATGAAGTATGTGTGACCCTGAACAACATATAAAATATACTCCTCAAAGTCTCACAAGGATACTGTTCATGAGACATGGTTCAAAGGGTTTCATTTTGAGATGTGCTTTTTTAATATGCAGTTTTATGTTATGAAGGGACAGAAAAAAATATAAAAAGGTAGTAACTTTACATGTTTGGTGCGTAAGTTGTTTAAGGTGCAAAGCACTAGCCTGCATTTTTAGAGTTCTCTGTCATAAGCACATCGGAAACTGGAAGCTTTATTTAAAACTCAGGTGCTTGAAAAGCAGCTGTTCCTAAGGCTTTTAAGGTAGAAACCAGTCAGACAAAAGCCTGTGCAACTGTTGAGATAAAAATGAAAAATTGCTTTTTCTGAAGAACTTGTATTTAGGGTTTATTGCATTTATCAGTGAATTGAAGTCAATCACTACGTTTGTATTCTCAGCAGTAATCTTAGTTTATTACCTTAGTATGATTCTGTATGGAAGGGTGAAAATGTTAATCTTGAATTGTTATGGCATGTCTGTAGCTTTGAAAAGAAAAATGATTTGTTTTCTGGCAGTATGAGATCTGCTCTCTGGTTTCCTTAAGCTTAAAGAGAGGCTGCTCAGTTATATGGCTTAGGTGTCAGAACCATGACTTGTTGCATCTTATGTTGCGATGAGATATTCAGAATATATGCAGAATGATGTGTTTTTTTTAATAGCTGAGAAGTTGCTTTGGAAAAAGAAGAATAATAGAAGAAAGTTCAGATCTGGTTCATAATGAACTGATTTTATAGGTCATATGCATATAACAAGGACACTTTTCAAACCATTGAACTGGTATGTGTAACCCTGAAATGTTAAGTATAGTGTTGCAGAGAGTCTTTCAGGAGAACTAAGCATGTTTATATATGTACTAGCCAATTTCCCATCAAGAATGATGGGGAGGAGCAGGTGGGGATGGAGCCCCATGCCTCCCCATTCCTCCCTCCCCTCCTGCTGCTTGGGGTCTGGGCTCGTTCCCCCCATCCCCACCGCAGTGGTGGGGGCAGGGAAGGAGCAGGCCTGGGCCCAAGGGTGGGGAGAAGCCAGGCCTCTGTGGTGGGATGGGGAGCAGCGGGCCTGGGCTGACCCGGTGGCAGTGGGGGCATGGGAGGAGCGGGCTTGGGGCTGATGTGGGGGAGTGGGGTGGGAGAGGAATGGGCCTCGATGTGGGGAGGAGGCCGGCTTCTTCCCTTCCCCAGCTGCTTTTGCATCAGGCCAGGCCTGCTGCTCCTCCCTCACTGCTGCGTCGGGCCCGCTTCCCCCACCCGTGTTGGGCCTGGGCCCAGTCCTCCCCTTTCCCCGCTGCACACCTGCTCCTTCCCCCCTCCACATCGGGCCCACTCCTCCCCCCATTGTTGCCAGGTCAGCCCTGCAGGCAGTGACGACAGAATGGGGGAGGGGTGGGCTGAGGCCACTGGAGCTGGCTCGCCCCCCACCCGTGCCATCCTGACCCTGCTCCGCCGCCCTCCCCCCGGCGCGCCAGTGCCACTGTCACCTCCAAGGAGTAGGGGGGTCTCTCTGAATCCTATGCCTTCCAGCATATTTAGTACTCCCCTCAGATTGGTGTCATCTGTAAACTTGCTGAGGGTGCACTCTATTCCATTTTCCAGGTCATTGATGAAGATATTGAACAAAACCAGCCCCATGGCCAACCCCTGGGGAAATCCACTTGATACTAGCTGCCAACTAGACATCGATCCATTGACTACCCTCTGAACCCAATGATCCAGCCAGTTTTCTATCCACCTTACAGTCTGTTCATTCAACCCATACTTCCTTAGCTTGCCTGTGAAAATGTTGTGGAAGACTATCAAAAGCCTCGCTTAAGTCAAAGTATACCACATGCACTAGTCTCTCTGCATCCACAGAACCAGTCATCTCATCATAGAAGACAATCAGGTTGGTCAGGGA